GCAGCTGTTCCCCACTACTTGTCCATCTGGTGAATCTAGTCAGCCTTTCTAGAGATCTTAGTTTTATGAGGGTCAGCTGTTCCTCATCTAGTGGTAATCAGTTGTTAATATTCCTTTGGATAAGATTGGGGTCTGCTGTTCATTTTCCCAGTTTTATGCTGGGTTACTATCTGGGAGTCCCTTTGGCTACCCTGGCCAACACTTCAAAAGAAGGTTACTATTATCTGGAATTGTTGCTTATTATGTAGCCTTTAAGCTATACATATGGACTCTTAAAAAATTAAATTGGCCCTTTTAATCTTTGGTTATACTTTCCGTTTGGGTGTTTAATGCCACACAGTTGGCCCAGATAAAACAATTGATTTTTACTCTTAAGGTCGTTTGAGCATCTGTTCCTCATGGGTCACATGGGTTTGGGAGAAGCTCCTGGCTCCTTTCTTTTACCAGTTCCTCCTATGTAAAGATAAGTCGAAGGTCTTGCTAGACCATGGCTGGCTTCACTTGGAAGCCTGGAAGAAATGTTTCCTCTGTGTTGACGCTGCTCTTTGTAGACTGGACACTGGTTCAAGTCCATCTGGTGGGGTCTCCTTGGCTTCCTTGATCAAGAGGTCAGATGACCCACCACCATTACAAGACCCTGCATATTTTATACAGATGGTTTTCAGTTGTTGGTCATTAACCTACAGATTAGACATCTACAATTTATGATCTGCTTCTATTAATATTCACACGCAGATAGTATTATGTACTACCATCAATCTATACAGAAGAATAAAGTTTGAATAAGTTTCCTTAAAATGATTGCCCATGGGGCTGGAGAAATGGCTCACTGGTTAAGAGCACTTCTTGTTTTTTCCAAGGACCTGAGTTTTGTTTCCAGTTTTGGTAGGGTGCTACCAAAAAAGGAGAAAAAAAAAAGTAAACAAAACAACTGCCTGTAACTCCAGCTCCAGCGGGTCCAATGCCATCTTCTGGTCTCTACAGGCACCCTCCCACACATGGCATACAGCACGTCATAGCCGGGTGTGGTGGCACAAGCCTTTAATCCCAACACTTGGGAGGCAGAGGCAGGCAGATCTCTGTGAGTTCAAGGCCAGTCTGGTCTACATAGCGAGATCCAGGCCAATAAAGACTACAGGGTGAACCTGTCTCAAAAGACCAAAATAAATAAATAAATAAATAAATAAATAAATAAATAAATAAATATCATTTACTTCTATATTGTCTACTTTTTTTTAATCAACCATCATTGATTCTGAATTGCTATACCAGAAATATTTTCACATAACTAAGGATGAAAATGAAATAAATGGCAGTGACTAGGACGCAAAGGTGGAAAGATGGTCCAAAATTTAACCCTGACTAGTTCCCTTTCAATCATGTTCATATCCCTCTTTAAATCCTTTATGTTGGTGTCTCTTTTCTGGGTTTCCATATTTTCTACCTTTACTTTAGGCAAATTTGCTTTTGCTTTTTCATTTAGCCTCTCAGTTTTTTTCTGGCCTGACTAGGGGTCAGTAGAATTGCTTGTAAACCATTTTTAATAGGATTACAGAGGAAAAGGGACTCTCCTACCAGGAAATGAGTTAGCATAATTAGGAAGCAGTTCATTACTGCACATGGAGTATTTGGAGACTTTTTTTACAACACCATAGAGAATGAGTATACCTAAAGAAGAATCTGCTTTTATGAACAAAGTGCGCAATAGTGGACACTCACCCTTATTTATGAAGCAGTATTATGCAGTGACTTCAAAGGCCTCCACCCCACCACTAGAGGGAGAGAAAATCCAATGCATGTAAATCTATTTGATTCCTTTAACAAATAGAAACCTTCCAATTTGATGCATTTTGTGCCTCATCATGACCTTTCAAAGGCCCACAAGAGCTAATGGTGGAAATAGAGACTTGTTATCCATTCTTTTGGCTCCTCTCTCTGCCAAGATTATCTATCATTTCCAGAAATGTCTGTTGGTCTCTGTGGTGTCTAGCAAGGCATTGTTTTCCAATCGCTCCTTGTTTCAGCAACAGAACCTCCTTCCTTAGGACCATTTCTTGTCTTCTTCCTGAATGCCAAATACACATCTGTCAGAACCCTTACTGACAGACAACTCTCTGGCTGAGAGAGCTATTTTGGTCCCACAACAAGGTGGCTGTCATCTGGAAGGCATGGAGATTTTCATTTTCAAGGAGCTCAGGATGTAGCAGGACAGAGTTTCTAGGAAAAAAAAATGTTTTTATCAAGGAAGATTTCTTGGCTCTTAGTTTTTCCACATTATTGGTACAGACTTAGAATGAAGTTTTTAAAAAGATGTTTAAGCCAGAGCATGATTTTGCTTGATACTTATTTAAATGAGGGTAGTTAGAATTAATGTCTTAAATAGCAATACTCGCTTTTGTTTATTCTTTTTCAGGGAGCCTTGAATGTTCAGGGTTGGAATGGACAGATTCACCTTTGCATTTGGCTCAACCTCTTTATATAAACACACTGACTTCTTAACACAAATAAATTTCCCAAAATCTAAGTTGTGGTTAATTGTAATCATTCCCTTTTCCTTTCACTAGTTTGCAATGGAGGAGTGATAGGAAATCATCATTTGGGTTAGAAGATTTATGACTTTCAGCACCATGTGTTACAATGTGAGGGACTAATACAAGTGGTACCAAGTTTCTGCTTTATAAGATGAAGCAAACAATTTCAATTGAAACATTAAACTTCAAGTAAAATTAAAAGATAGTTTCTGCCATCATGACAATGTATCTCAAAATCTAATTGAATATATGTTTGAATCTTAAAACTGAATTAATCTTTTCTTCAATTAAATAATTTTTTCCTGTAGAAACAAAGGCAGTGCTTTAAAAAATGTTTAGCAGA